CATTTAACTTTACTCTCATTTGACTATCTCTAATTAGAAAAAGGTCCCTCCTTGGGCCTAGAAAGAAAACCTGCCTCTAAATTTTACAGAAATCCATGAATACAGTATAGGACATTAAAACAAAATTAGGACTTTAGTCACCACAAAATCATGGAAATCTTTGAGTATCAGTTTTTACTTCTCGTTTGGGAAATCCCTTGTAATGTAATTTAAGTGGCAAGGAGTCAAGTCTACAAAACTGTTAAATGTGAGAAAAAAATCCAAAAGAAATTCCCATCCCTTAGCAACAGACCCTTATAAAAGCACTTGCCCCAGTTCTGCCTCTGTCTGCCCTTTACCTACCCAATGTGGCCCCATGAGATGCACCACATACTTCTTCCAGGACTTGTGAATAATAAACTTACCTATTTCAATTCTGCTTGTCTGTTGTTGAATCTTGGATTACCATTTGGTATCCTGTGTCCACTTAAGTGGTGATGACAAACTCATAACAAGCTCACTTAATTTTCCAATATAACATATACCCAAGCTTATTGCTTATTTATCTTCTTGATATTTCTCTCTCTTCTGTCCTCAAATATAACATAGTCTTAACATCTGCTAAGAATATGAACAGGTTAAAACAGGTGCAACTGAGACTTTTTTTCCCTTGATTCCTTTATAAGCCTCTCCCACCCTGCCTTGCTCTAAGAAGAAAATTTGAAATATATCGATGAATATAAAATTATTTTTTAAAAAAGATTTATTTATTTATGCATACAAGAACTGGGGTGCAGGCCAGAGATGCGGCAGGGGCAGGGGGGAAAACTCACCAGAGACAGTGGGAAACAGAACAGGCAGATCTACTGAAAATACACTGCTGAGGGGAGCAGTGGGTAGGCCAGGAGAAAGGAGAGGTCTGCTGCGCCATGTGGATAGCTCCCTGGCTGGCCAGGGATCGAACTTGTGCAGCAGTGGTTGTGGGTAGCTTCATAGTGCTGCGTCTTAATCCCTTGCACCACTAGGGAGGTTCAGAATATAGAATTCTTACATTTAATAGAAACAAGGTAAAAAATTTCATACCCATGCATACACATATATACATTTCAGATTAACTCTCCTGCAGAGAAAATTTAGTTACTGTACTAAATATGTTTTACTTGGAAAAAAGTCTTGAGGACAGTTTAGTTTTCCTTTCAATGGAATATCTCCCAAGAATTTTTAGGAAAGCTTATCAAGTCAGTAACTTCTTTGTTATAGCCTACGGTTGGTATGCTCTGTGATTTCAGCATTCGTGTGGTCAGATTTTTCCCCCATGCTAAGGGTTTTGTTTTCCACTGTTATGTCAGTGGATTTTGTCATCCACTGTCTGAAGCAGTCCTGTGCAATTGCCCGTCATATTAACTTACAAGTTTAAGATTCTTACTGATGTACTTAAAACTTACCCTATCGCTTACTGTAATCACAGTAGACTTGCAAACACCATTAATCACCAACTTCCAGATGTACATATTACCCATATAATTATTATAAAATATTTTATAATATTAAAAAACAAATACAGTAGTGTAAATAGGGGCCTCCCTCGTGGCATAGGTGGTTGAGCACAGCACTGTAAAGCTGTCTACTGCCTCTACAGTGCGGGTTCGATCCCTGCTAGCCTCAGAGCAACCCACATGGCGCAGCAGACCTCTCATGCCTCACCTGCTGCTCACCTTGCCAGTGTATTTTAGTAGATCCTCCTGTTCTGCCCCCCCTCCCCAGTGAATCCTCTCACACCCCTGCACCTCTGGCTTACACCCCAGTTCTTATATGCATAAATAAATAAATCTTAAAAAAAATTGTACTGTTAAATGTTAAAGATGTTCTTACACGAATTCCAGTTCACATGGGAACTTGTGAGGAATAGGCCCACAAGGATGTCAGTGAGAAGGCACTGAGACTTGCACAAAATAAGCTCCCCCTAAATGAATCAAGAGTGAAAAGGAGGAGAAATTAGTTGGGGAAAAAAATGAATGGAGAGGACAATAAAGAGATAATTCCAGAGGAAGCTTCTGACCATAAATCTCTACATATTTCTCTCTCTTGTAGATACTCCTTTGTCATTTCTCATATATAGACCAAGTCCTGGTTATAACTGTATGATGGTAGATTCCACTGTGGAGTGGTAAGTATTTCAAATAATAGCTTTTCTACTGCAATTATTTATACTACTGTATCTGTTTTTTTGCTTGTTTGTTTTAAAGATTTATTTATGCATACAAGAACTGGGGTACAGGCCAGAGGTGTGGGGGGTGAGAGATTCAATAAAGATAGAATGGGATACAGAATAGGCAGAATGACTGAAATACACTGCTGAGTGGTGTAGCGGGCGAGACAGGAGGGTCTACCGTGCCATGTGGGTTGCTCCAAGACTGGCGGGGATTGAACCCACATTGCAGAGGCTGTGGACAGCTTCATAGCACTGCGCTCAACCACCTGTGCCACGAGGGAGGCCCCTATTTATACTACTGTATTTGTTTTTTAACCCACTTCAGGTAAACTCTTCCACTTTACAATTGATTTATAATTAATTTGGCAACAAAAAAGATATGTGAAGAATGTTTATTTTTTCATACATTAGAATATGTTTAAAGTACATACATATTTCTACTTTACAGTAAGAACTTTTGGGTACTTCTTTTATAAAGAACTTGGTTGGTATTTTAGGTAGAAAAATGGGTGAATTACAGCCCTGTGGAAATTGGCCTATACAAAATTTACCATAAGTATTGAATCTTTGAATAATGTATTTCAAAGTTCAAGCCAGTACTTAGAACCTCTGTGACATCAAAGGTTTGGAAATGCCTTTTGAACCAGTTCGGATGTGTAATAAAAAACTAGTTACTTTGTAGCTATTTTTTTCATTTTTATGTTTTTATATTTTTTCATCAAAAATGTTATTGCCATACTTGATCACCCATATGATTCTAAAAACAGCATCTCAGAGGATGGAAATTGAACCAACTATTGACATTTTATTTTATTTTATTTTTTTAAAGATTTATTTATTCATTTACACAAGAACCAGGGTACAGGCCAGATGCGCAGGAGGGTGAGAGGATTCACCAGAGACAGAGCGGGAACAGAACAGGCAGACAGACGAAATACACTGCTGAGGGGAGCAGCGGGCGTGACAGGAGAGGTCTGCTTGCATGTGGGTTGCTCCAAGGCCAGCGGGGCTCAAACTGGCGCTGCAGAGGTTGCGGACAGCTTCACAGCGTGGTGCTCCACTGCCTGTGCCACCAGGGGAGGGCCCAACTATTGACATTTTTTAAAAAAAAAGTCAATGTCTGTGCCAGAGTCATAGACAGAAGCACCCAATTTATCTAAGGTGGATAAATTTTCTGTTTGAAATTTAGAGAAGTGGTGGGTTGTTTAATAATAAACAGTTTATTATTAAAATTAGCTGTTTAATAATAAACAGTTAATATAAGGCATTAGCTTACATACAGTTATAATTTCTTACATATATCTGTATGTGCAACCACAGAGAAAATGTAAATAAATAGAGCCTAAAATAAAGCCTGGTAGAGAGAAAGATAAGTATAGGAGGAAACAAAACACTTAATAGTTTACAACTTTAAATCTTATTGACACACAGGTGAGGAGAGTGAAATTTAGGTGTATATATTGAGTGAATGCAGAATCATGTCTACTGATTTCTAGCATAGTGTTTCTTCCATACTATATCATAAAACCTCTCGAAAATTATTTTCAAGTTAATTTCTTTGTCCCGACCCGCGGGATTCGGAGGCACGAAAAGAGAAGGGCTGAGGATTGAAATGAGGCGGCTCCGGACATTTCTTAAAGATAATTTGAAATAAAACTGATCAGTTGGACCCTTAAGTCGCTAAGGTCCTAGCTCTCTAGTCAAGTCATCCTTGGCTACTTGTAACTGGTCACTGTTTCTAGTTCTAATTTTTTTTTTGCACTTTAGAAGAAAGTTCTTTTTTAATCTTAGCAAAGTTTTCAACACTAATCTGAGAACACTCAGATTTTGTTTGCTTTGAGATTTTCATTTGGTAACATTCCATATTTTTACACAAGGTACTGAAATTTTATACTGCCCAAATAGTTCAAATTAATACAGACTTACTATAAATTTCTATGAGTTTAGAAATACAGTGCAGTCTCTAATCTATGAATTTTCTTTTGATAAAGTGTCTTTCTGGTGAGTGGTAAATGTGGGTACTGATTTTTCAGTAGCACACAGTTTCTGTTTTTCTAAATCTTTTTTTTTTTTAAAGATTTATTTATTTATGCATGCAAGAGCTGGGGTACAGGACAGAGATGCGGGGGGTGAGAGGATTCACCAGAGACTGAGTGAGGAACAGAACAGGCAGAGCAACCGAATTACACTGCTGAGAGGAGCAGCGGGCGAGACAGGAGAGGTCTGCTTTGCCTTGTGGTTTCTCCCTCACAGGCCAGGGATTGAACTTGTGCTACAGAGGCTGCGAATTGCTTCGTCGTACCGTACTTAACCCCTTGCACCAATAGGAAGGCCCCTGTTTTTTCTTAATCTTTTAAATCTAAGTAAAATAAGTATCAACAGACCAGAAATATTTTCTTGGTCTCTCGTTGGCTCTTTTTTTTTTTAATCTTTTTTATTTTCTGGTAGTGATTCCAGGTAGCTACTGTAATCACTGTGTAGTTATTATAAACCCTTGTTGCTGATTCATAATAATGTCCTCCAGGGAAGTGGTACCCAACAGATAGCTCTTCCCCAATAAGATTCGATAGTCTCCACGTGCTGCTTTTTGGGAGAGATTTTGAGGTTTTGTTATCGGGACCCAGCCGCCTCAGTGGTGGTATCCAGCAGGACAATGATGTCCTTTCACCCTGCTGCTTCACCACAAGTCAGTTGTGGCAGTTGCTCCTCAGAACCCAGTAACTGCCTTTTTGTCAGTTGTGGCAGTTGCTCTTCAGAACCCAGTAACTGCCTTTTTGTCAGCTGTGGCAGTTGCTCCTCAGAGCTCAGTAACTGCCGTTTAGCTGTGAGCTATTGGTGCTAAATGGTCCAATCAGACTTGTGGGTGAAAGAGGATACAAGCCAGGGTTGGAGGGAGATGAGAGGGGGACCCAAAGAAGAAGGAGAGACAGCGCTGGCCCCCAGAGAAAGGAAGGATGATGCCAGCCCCTGAAGAAAAGAAGACGGTTCCAGCCTTCTCAGAAAGAAGCATCCAGCAGCCGCCCTTTGAGGAGGGAAGAGAAGCTGAAGGACTCTGTCTTTGACATTGCCTAAGAGGAGCACCAAAGGCCCTGGGCCTGGTGTCTCAAGGAGCTGTTTGTTGTTGGCATAACCCAACAACTCACAAAGAGCTGTTAACACTTGGTGTCTCTGACACCACCTCTGCGGGACCAGTAGTGGCCATCACTACTGGTCAGTGCTGTCCAGCACTCCTGGTGACCGGTGGTGACCATCACTGATGGTACCTGGGTGAGATTGCTGCCATTTGTTAATACTGTAAGCTCTTTGTTTCCTGTTTGTAAATAAACCCCATGATTGTTGTTCCTGGAGTCTACGGTCTCTTGCAGTTGTGTGCACGGGTGAGAACCCACAGTGACCTGTCCTCTTATTGAGCACTGTCCTTTGTTGGGCTACAGTTCTTGGTTTTGGTTTTTGGCCTTTTGCAGCCTTTTGTGGCTCTCTGGTCTTAGAGCCTGGCCAGGTAGGAGGCTGTTCCTTCCATCTGGCCTCCTGCCCTGTGCCCTCTCTTGTGGTCCTCTTTGCCCTATTTCAATTTTAGCAATGGCAAAGTAAACGAAGTGAATGGAAACGAAGTAAGATAGTCTTAATGGCCATTTTAATGAAAGTGAAAGCATAATAAAACTACTCCAGCCTCAACTCTTTTGTTTCCAGTTTTCTATTAATTTTATGTAAAGAGGATGGAGATGATCTAGAAACATTTTTTTTATTTAATAACATCTACCTTCTACATATAGTACTGGGGAGAAGGCTTTTTTTTTAAAAAGCAACTTTTGGGACCTACCTGCTGGTGCAGTGGGTTGAGTGATGCGCTGTGAAGCTGTCTGCAGCCTCTGCAGTAAGGGTTCGATTCCTGGCTGGCCAGGGAGAGACCCACATGGCGTGGCAGAACTCTCCTGTCTCGCCCGCTGCTCCCCTCAGCAGTGTCTTTGGTCCGTCTGCCAGTTCTGCTCCCCGCTCTGTCTCTGGTGAATTCTCTCACCCTTCCATGTCTCTGGCCTATACTCCAGTTCTTGTATAAATAAATAAATCTTTAAAAAAAAAAAAAAAGCAACATTTTGCCAGTGTCAGGATATGAAACAATTGAAACTTAGACACTGCTAGTGATAGTGTATAAATTCAATATAATAAAAGATTGGGGCCTCCCTGATGATGCAAGGGGTTAAGACACAGCACTGTGAAGCTGTCTGCAGCCTCTGCTGCACGAGTTTGATCCCCAGCCAGGGAGGTGACCTACATTGTGCAGCAGACCTCTCCTGACTCGCCCGCTGCTCCCCTTAGCAGTGTACTTAGGTTGATCTGCCTTTTCTTTTCCCCACTCTGTCTCTGGTGAATCTTCTCACCGCCCCCACACACACCTCTGGCCTTTGCCCCAGCTCTTGTATGCATAAATAAATGAATGTTAAAAACAAAAATAAGGTTGAGAAGCTGGACTACACAAAAATTAGTCTTCCTATGGGAGAAAAATGCTGTAAGTAAAAATAAAAGACAAAACTATTGCAACAGTTATGATAGACGAAAACTACAAATATCTCTGTATATAGGATCCTGACAAATTATTAACTAAAATATCATCTTACATGTTTTTTGAAATGGAGAATAAGGTAGGAACCAGTGACTCAAAGAAAAAACAAGCTCACTTAACCTGCTAATCATGGAGGGAAAAAATCAAATTAAGCTACGAGCTTCTCTTTTTGTTGTTTGCACAAGTAAATTTGATAAAATACCAAAATATATTAAAGAGAGCATTTTCTCATTTTTCTTACATAAGTAGAGATTTGTTAAAATAATAATTTAACAAGGCCAGGTAAAGAAAGATGAATTAAGAGACCAAGAAAATACCATCTGAGAAGATTATGAAGTCACAATAGCCAGGAGAAGAGTGTTTTTCAAGAACATATTAGTCAAGAGTATCAAACTAAGAGAGAGGCCAAGTAAGTTATGAGCCATAAATGTGCTTTTGTGAGTGAGAGACTGAAGTGGAAATCATTGGTGACTAAAGTTTATTGTTTAGGTAGAGTAATGGAAATGGAAATCAATGTAGATTGCAGGGGATGAAAGAGGTGATCTATATAAGGGAAATATGACCCTGAACATTTTATTTTGCTTTATAGATAACTAGCTTTGAGCCTATTTAAATGTTAATCAGGATACAGAGAAGGAAAGTAGGTTAGGGTGAAATACAGAATATAGTTGAGAGGTAATTGAGACAACAGGAGGACAGGAGAAAGAGACCTGAAATAGAGATCATGAGACCTAGTTTTTTTTGTTTTTTTTGTTTTTTTTTTAAGATTTATTTATTTATTTATTTATACAAGCACTGGGTACAGTCTGAGGCGCGGGAGGGTGAGAGAATTCACCAGAGCCAGAGCAGGGAGCAGAACAGGCAGAAGGACGGAAGTACACTGCTGAGGGGAGCAGCGGGTGGCAGGAGAGGTCTGCGCACCATATGGGACCCTCGCCCTGCGGCCAGGGGTTGAACCAGAGCTGCAGAGGCTGCAGGCAGCTTCCTAACCCAGCGCTCAACAGCTGCGCCACCAGGGAGGCCCGAGACCTAATTTTTATTATTCCTATTCTTTGATTCTTAATTGCTTAATCTATAATGGGGGTTGAAAAAATTTCTTTAAAGATCTAGAAAGTAGATATTTTAGTCTTTGTGGACTTTAGGGTTTTGTCATATTTCTTAAACTGCTATCTTCTAATAAGAAAGTAGCCATAAATGTTAGATGAATGGATAAAGCTGTGATCCAGTGGAACTTACTATAGACCCTTAATTTGAATTCCATACTGTTATTTTAAGTGACATGAAATATTCTTGATTTGTCCCTATTGTTCAGCTTGTGGGCTCTACGAAAAGTAGTATGTAGGAGGCTTGAATTGGCTTACAAGCTGTAATTTGCTAATCCTGATCTATGAAATGAAAATTTATACTAAAATATATTTTATCTCTATATTGTATCATCTTCACAGAGGTTTTCTTCACTTAATCTCATTAAGTCTATATGTGATTTATCATATATATCTTCTAATTTAACTTTTTAATCAGAAATTATTGTTCGTGCAACCGTTTAGAACTCTGCAGTAGAACTTAGAATTTATGTGTTTGTGACTAGAGTTACAGGAATGTTTTTATCCCTCAGCAACCCTTTCCTGAGACTTGCTAGAAGAGGGATGATCTTTGACATATGTCATACCATCGTTACAATAATTTCCTTAATATTTAAAATTTTTTAACTTAAGTATATATTTTGGGATGGAAAAGCATCATTATTTGGCATGATAGAAGGTAATTGTAAAAATAAGTTTCAATATCTTTTATTTGCCAGAAAATTCTGAAATAGGTAGTTTCTTTTTGTTAAAAAGAGATTAGTGAAACTTTTTTCAAAGATATTAAAAAATAAATTAAGCAATATGTATAAATTGACAGCTAGTTTAAAAGAGAAGTGAAAAAAATGTGACTGATGCTTCACATGCAGATGTACTGTGGGTTTGATTCCAGACTATGGCAATAAAGCAAGCCAAATTAATTGTTTCCCAGTATATATAAAAATTATATTTATGTTGATTTTCAGTGATGCACACCTGAAACTTGTATACAATATTATTACATAATGTTATTTCAGTTTTTTTAAAGTTATGTTTATACTGTTCTGTAGCCTGTTGAATGGGCAATGTTTAAAAAGTATGTTACATACCTTAACAAACCTAAAAAATAGTTTGTTGCTTAAAAAAGCTAACCTTCATGTGAACCTTCAGTTAGTCATAATCTTCTTAATGGTGGAGGGTTTCACCTCAGTCTTGATGGTTTCTTTCTTATCAGAGTAGTAGGTGCCAAAAATTGGGGTGGCTGTGACAGTTAAGATAAGATGACAATGAAATTTACTGCATGGGTTGACTCTTCTTTCCATGAAAGGTTTCCTTGTTGCATTGTGATGTTTTTAAGAGCATTTTGCCTACAGTAAAACTTCAAAATTGTAATCAATCTTCTTAAACTCTGCTAGTACTTTTTCAAGTAGGCTTGTATAGTATTCTAAATCCATTGTTGTCATTTCAACGATGTCCTTAGCATCTTCATCAGGACTAGTTTTTAGAATTGTTTTGTCTCTACTCTCCATTGCCTACCTAGAAAAACCCAGTACCCACTGGGACAGCCTCACACAAACCCTCAGGATTGAAACTTCCTGATTCTAGCTTTATATAGAGAAAAATAGATAATGGTTATAGGAGGTTTGTATGTAACTTGCAACATATATATTTTGCATGTGTTTAATATATATTTAATGGTTATAGGAACATGACTATGAATGTCAAGAAGTGTATGTATCAATTCATCACCTTAATGTGATTGATTTATTTGGGCTGAAGATAAAGGAGCATTGTTTCAACTTGAAAGGTTATACTTGGAAATATCATTCAGTGTATACTAACTTAATGAAGGACTTTCAGTACCACTGTGCCTTGATGATTCACTTTTAATCATACATTTTTTAAACTAAGCTACTTTCTGGCTAAGTATTCTCCTAATTACCAAGATTCAGAAATCTATAAATTTCAGAAGTCTTTATTGGTAAATTCTACTAAAGAAACATTTGGTAAGAAACCATAGAACTGAGATATCACCCCATCTTTCCTGAAAAAAATAATTTAACTGTAGTCAGAATATTGAGGATTTTCTCACTTGGCTCATGGTTGTATACCATTGTATACAATGGATATAGATCATGATTATTGAAGAGGTTTTTGTAATAGACGTTATTCTAAATAAAGTCTCCCTATGTCTCCCTTAATAAGTTACCAGGTAAACATAGCAGTCTTAAGATCTATCTCTCGAGCTCATACATCTTAAAGGTATTCTTGTTAGAAGGCAACACCACTAGTGTCTATCAGTGTGGGATGAGGGAAAGGCTAGTTTTCTTATCTTTGTAAAGGCCTGTCCATTCCGTATTGTGATCCATGTTTAATTGGGAAATTGGAAGATCATCCTTCAAAAATAGCAGAGGCATTATAATTGGGTGTAAAGTCCTTTGTGAACCTTCTATAGAATCTTATCCTTTATGATCCTTCTGTAGAATACTGGCAACTGCTAGTTGGGATTATGATCTAATGTCTGAACTAAGCAGTTGATAGGTATCAGGAGGCCCTTGAATGATTTTCTGAAATGGTATGAAGAGTACATACATCTCTCTGTTTAGGGGGCTCTATAAGTAACCTTGGATGTTTGAGTTGTACTTGAAAAGTTAAGCTATAGGGGGTGGTAGGGATCTGAAAGAAAGAGGGAGGAGGGAGGGAAAGTAATTTGTACTACTAGTTGACAGTGTATGTCGTCTTAATCCATTTGTATAGTAATACTATAGAATAGTAGCCATTGAGTGATAGGCTGTTTTTGATCAGCAGTTGTAGGAATGATTATACAATAGTTGGTTTAACCTTCATAAATTTTTCCCAAAGCCAAAAGTTATGATTTAGAGAATGTTGTTCTATTACAAATTATGTGGAAAAAAATAGAATATCTGGCAAAAATTTTATCAAATGTTAGTAAAAACTATTTGGAAGTTACTAAGCTTTTCAGGTACATGGTGGCTTTTGGTTACCCATTACAATTACATGAATTGCAAAGAGAGGTCCATAGAAATTACAAAATTCATTTGTACTATATATATAATAGAGTTTTCATTCATTTTCTATTTGGGGTAAGTTGGGAAATTTGAGATTGTGACCAAGAAGATTTCATAATTCAATTCCATTTGGGATTTTTTAGATGATTTTATTGCCATTGCCTCTTACATATTAATTGACTTTCTATTTAATAATTTTTGATTGATTTTAGGCCACCAACAAAATGGAAATGAGAGAGATTGCTAGACACAAGCCACTACGGAAAATGAACTCAACCAGTGAACCTTTACTAGGTACTGGTGTAGAAATCAGTCCTTTGAAGAAATTTACTATTCCTAAAATCAGAAGAACAGCTGAGAAAGGTAATACTTCTATGGAAGATGAGGTTATTTCATTTATTGCTTTTCTCTGATTTTTCTCTGTGTTCATTTTCTATTTTGACTCTATAAAATTAGGCCTAGTCAGGTCTTTAATTCTTTAAACACATATACATCTGGTTCCCCATAAAATGAAATAAAAACATGTCTCCTTTCCCTCCTACTGAGTATACCTACAAATGCTGGACATAAGACATAAAATAACGTAAGAAGACTCTGAAAGGTAGAAAGAAGATGAACCAGATAAGGGCCCAGGGACACAAGGAATGACATAGCAGTAAGTTCTCTGGGTATTCTTTTTGTTTCCACCATGTCACAAATTGAATGCACATAACCAAAAATGGCAACCTATGTACAGACAATGAAAAGCCCTGAGCAAAGCCTGTTCTCTCTCATCAAGGACTGGAAAAGAATATCCTAGAAAGACAGAAACTTTTTGTCAAAAAACATCCTACTCCTGCAAAACAGTGGGATAGAGGGAAATGTAACCCCTACACCTTTGTCAACAAAGGCCAAATGGAGAGTGCCTGCCTCTATTTTCACTGTGCCTTTCCCCTTGGCAGTAACAAGTTCCCCTCCCTACTATTTCTACCCCTTGAAACATCAGTGGATTTCTACTCCTGTGGTGGTGTTGCCTCTTTTGACTGGAAGCAGAGCCTGTGAAGATCAAGTGAGGAGCCTACATTTGTGTCATTCCCACCAATAATAAGACATACATACTTGTTCCACCCTGTCAGTGGAGGCTAAATGAACTTCTACTCCTTTCTCATGGTAACAAGGTATCAGTGGAGACTATGTGGAAGGCCAGTACTTCAACCCCACCTAGTGGTAAAGAATAGGCACCCACTGGGCCACTTCACAGTTTTCCTTGTTTAGTTTTAGTGGAGGCTCTTTTAAACACAAGATTAAATACCCCAAATGATCAGGATACAATAAAAAATTACTCATCTTGCTACCAACTAGGAAAGTCTTATCGTGAGTGAGAAAAAATAGTCAACAGATGCCCAACACCAAGATGAAATATGTTGGAGTTATCTAATAAGCTTTTTAAAGCAACCGTCTAATGATGTTTCAACAAGCAATTACACTCTTGAAACAAATGAAAAAGTAAATAGAAAATCTCAACAAAGAAATGAAAAATTAATTCAAAAACAAGCAGAAGTTTTGGAAATGAAAGTAAAATAATTGAAATGAAAACTCACTTGATGGTTTTCAAGAATTGAGAACTAGAAACAGTGAATTTAAAGGTAGAACAATAGAAATTACCCAGCCTAGAGAATACAGAGAAAAATAGAAAAAATTTAAGAGAGCCTCTGGGATCTAGGGAACAATAACAAAGGATCCAATATATTTGTCCTCAGATTTACAGAGTAAAACAGAAAAACTGTAGAGTTGAAAAGTATTAGAAGAAATTTTGAAACTTTCCCAAACTTAGCAAAAGGCGTAAAACTTACGTTGTTAAAAGACTGATTAAATTCTAAATAGGATAAACTTAAAATAATTGTATGTCAAGGCACATCATAATCAAACTTTTGAAGACTAAGGACAGAAAAAAATCTTGAAATCAACCAGAGAGAAAACTGTTATCTCTAGGGGAAAAATTGTTGAATTACAGACATTTTTCATTAGAAACCATGAGTCCAGAGAAAGAGGCATAATATTTTTCAAAAGCAAAAACCCTGTAGAATATCCCTTAGGAATAGAGATGGAATGTACATCCTAGGGTGAAGTAAAACATCAACAGACCCATCCTAAAAGAATGGCTAAATGAAGTTCTCTACACAGAAAATGACAAAAGAAGATGGGAACATTATTAATAAAGAAAGAGAAATGGAAAGAGTGGAAGTATAGGAAAAATATAATAGACTATTATCTTGAGTTTTCTGATTATGCTTGACAGTTGGGACAGGAATTATAACTTTTCTCTGATGTGATTCTTAGTGTATATAGAAGTGTTTAAGACAATAAAGTAGGATTGTACATTTTAAGCTACTAAACACTGATGAATGACATCAAAGCAAATCTAAACTAATGGAGGGACATACTGTATTTATGGATTAGAAGAGTCAACATAATGAATATATGTTCCCCCCACAAACATCTGTGGATTTATTACACCTATCAAAAGCACAGCAAGACTTTCTATAAAGAAACAGGTTTATTCTCAATTTTATATAAGAAGGCAAAGAAAGCATAGCTAAAGCAATTTTGAAATAGAAGAGTTTTGAATTACACTATCTATGGTAAGATTTACTGTATAGCTATAGTATGAGATGTGGCAGTCGCAAAGGGACAGACTCTTACATCAGTGGAACAGAGTAAACCCACAAAAATATGCTCAGTTGATCTTTCAATTGATTTTTAACAAAGGTAAACTCAGTGTACCTTTTCTTAAATGGTATTGGAGCAGTTGGACAACATTCATGTGCAAAAAAAAAAAAATGTACTTCATTCTAACTGGAAACACAAATTCAAAATGAAACCTGAGATGAAATGCAAAATGTGAAACTGTAACACTTTTGAAAGAAAACATGGAAGAGTATCTCTAGGACCTAGGGGTAGAAGAAGAGTTCTTAGACACAAAATTTTTTTTGTAAATTGGGCTTCATCAAAATTAAAAACTTTTAGAGGAGTCCAGAAGATGGCAACAGAGTCAATATACTGGACTTACCTCCACCATATTCCCACGCCTAAATTTCAGCTGATCAAAGTTAATAACCCCAGAAGGAAAAGCAGATCAAAATTAATAACTTCTGAAGGAAAAGACTTTTACAGTACACATCAGGAACAGCAGTCTAGTGCAGAAGATACACATTAGAGAACTCTAGGTGTAGGGGTACAGAGTGATGCTTAATGGTTTGAGCCTGAAGCTTCCAGTATGTTGTAGATAGCTTTAGCACGAATCTAAAGCGAGGTTGGATAACCCATGTCTCCTCATAGAAGAGGCTACTTGCAGCCTGAGCCTGAGATACTCAAAATACCTAGCTCCCAGGCTTAAACCAAGACAATAAATGACACTTTCATTAACCAGAGTTTAAGCACCTATTAACAAGAGCCAGACACTTTAGAATAAGATTCTTCACTGGAAAAGAAAACAAATTATGGCTTGTGACCCTGTGTTAACTGCAGTCCATGCCTAGCCCTGCATCCAGTGCTCAAACATACCCTAGAAGTGGACACTTAAGGAGCTATAGGAGACTATAAGGAGATACTTAAAGGAGCTAGCCTAGAGGAGGAGATCACTGTGTATCCCCTTTACACAACTTTGGTACCCACAGTACTGTAGGAGGCTTGAATCCCTGATGCTCACTAGAGTGCGCCAGTTCCTTTTTACCTGTTACTGCTTGCTAGTACAGCTATCCAATCACTTGAGCAGGTGCATAGGAAGCATCTGAAAGTCTGTCTCTATTACAGCCCATAATAACTAAAAATGAAGATGCAGAAAAATGTATCACAAATGCTGGAGCAAAACATCCCTGAAAGAAGTCTCAATCAAGCAAAATCAAGGAATATTCCTGATAAGGAGTTTATGGTAGCAATTATAACAGTGTTTATTGAACTTTTTAAAAAAGTGATATAAAACATGAACATAATAGGGCCTCCCCTGGTGGCGCAGCAGTTGAGCGCTGGGTTGCAAGGCTGCCCGCAGCCTCTCTAGCGCTGGTTTGATCCCCGGCTGCCCGCGAGGGTCCCACATGGCACGACAAACCCCTCCTGTCTCGCCCGCTGCTCCCCTCAGCAGTGTGTTTCATCGGTCTGCCTGTTTTGTTGCCGCTCTGGCTCTGGTGCTTCTGACTGTACCCAGTGCTTGCATAAATAAATAAATCTTTAAAAAAAATGAACATAATAAAGATCAAGAAAATACGAAACAATGACAGAATGTACAGATCTAAAAAGTGTAACCAAATTTAAAAATACAATAGAGGACTTTAGTGACAGACAAATGAAAGCAATGGAAAAATGAGTTTAAAAATAATGTCAGAACACACAAATGCAACAATAAAGAGAAAAAAGAAAGGAACTAGTGTAGGAGCCCTTTGGGGTAACCTAAAGAGAAATAGCATCTGTATCATAGGAGCCCTAGAAGAAGAGAAAAAGAGAAAAGTATGGAAAATCATTTTAAAAAAGAACTGTTTTCTCAACCTGGAAAATGAACCAGACATTGTGATCCAAGGGGTGTAGTTTTCCAAACAAAATAATACCAGAGAGACACATAACAAAGCACACTAAAATGAAACTATTGAAAGCCAATGACAAGGAAAGAAATCTACAAAAGTATCAAGAGAAAAAAGTAACCTATAAAGGAACAGCAAGTAGACTACTGGACTTTTCAAAGACACTACAAATAATAAGGTAATGGCAGGAGACATTTCGAGTTCCAGTCCAAAATCTTTTACCCTGCAAGATGGAAAGTTAAGGAGCTTCACTGAAAAGGAAAAAACTTGAAGAATTTATCAACACCAAACTACACATGAAATAAGTCTTAAAGGGGTTATTACAAAGCAACAGAACAGCAAATATAAAGGTAATGGAAGCCTAAATTATATAACATGGAGGAGGTAGAGTGTAACAATGTAACACATCAGAATGCATTTGAGACCAGAACACCCAACAGGTTACACAAATAGTCCATCATATACTCACCTCAGTATAACCTTCAAACAAAAACCAGTAGAAGTAACACATGAGACAATGAAAGTGAAACCTAAATAAAACAAAGGGATGACCTCAAAAAATAAACAGCACATATGTCTCAGTAATCACATTATATGTAAATTGCCTGAATTCACCAGTCAATAGGTATGGAGTACCTGGATGTACTTCAAAACAAAGTTCAATCTTCTGATGTTTACATGAAACCAACTTGACCAACAATGATAAACATATATTTAGATTTAATGGCTGAAAGACAATCCTTACAGGCAAATGGCAACCAAAAAAGTCAGGAACAGGTAACTACACTTGTATTACATAAAATAGATTTC